AGTAAAGGCCTTCACACATAGGGCCATCGCACACAAAATTGCATAGCTGCTTGGGCATAGCATGAAAACTGTTTAAACCAATGAACATTGAGCATTGAGTCGCCATATTGATTTACATAACATGCTCATTGGTCCAGATGTCTTATGCTATGCATATGCAGCTATGGAATTTTGACGAATTTGATTGGTCTATAAGCAAATGCATAAGGAAATGAACCAATCAAATTCGTTATGCATATGTTCTGCATTTACGCAAAAGTGTGTGCTCCCCGCTATATTACTGTGACGACATCTAACCTAACCTAACCTAATCCCCAAACAGAGGACCGCAAGTTCTTTTTGCTTGTGCTTGCTGAACGCGTAGCTCTCTCGGGTACACGCAGATAGAGTCCATAATGACGAATTCTTGCGCAGTCCCAAAATGCAAAACGGGTGGCAGCGACACACAGCGCCAACTAATTTCGGCTTAAAAACTGGCATAGCCCCCCCCCCCACGCAATCAGAGTCTGGCCATAAGGAAGCACGCTGTGATTGGTCCGCCACTTTTCGTCAATTCGCGCCAATTTTATAAAGCGGCAATTGTTCAATTTAGCTTTCTCTTCTCCAAAATTGAATAAAATTGAGCTCACTCGACGCGATTTGGCTCAAAACAAAAGAATCTGGCAGAAAAAAAGTTGCTCGGTTCCGCGAAGCGACATATTAATGGTTAAAGTTGACTACTGTTAGGGTCGATATGACCGGTTTCTTGATTAAACTGCGCTTGTAGTTGTTTTTTTTTAGTACTTATGCACAAAATAATACCAGGATAAGTTGCGGACCGCATAGCAGAACATTTTCATACTTAAACACTCGGTTTAGAAGTCTAATAAAAAAGATATTGGTATTTAATTGGTATAAAATTGCACGACTCATCCACACGATTAAAGTACGCATAAAGGCAAAACCAGGGACAGTCGACTTTATATATAAAAAAACAGCATAAATTAAAAATATCACTTTATAAGTGATTAAAGTTAAGTTCTCTCAACAGGAATGTTTCGGAGTTTGACCAGTCCAAAATATTTCAAGTATGTAGATACCGATTAGTAATTCATTAAAGTATCTCGAGAATCGTCAATTGTATTACACGCTTTGTACAATTGGAATAAATAAAGATCAAAATTTACAATGATTCACGCGACTAAGAAAAATCTCTGAGAAAACTATAAACTTAATAAATACTTAACGTCTCGAGTGTGCTATTTTGAAATTACACTGTAGGGAATCTATAGAATGTAAAATTCTCGAAGTCTTTACTTTCTCTTACGTCGTATGGCAATTGTATTATGGAGCCAAATTATATGACAAATACTTACGATTCAAACAATCAGGTTTTCAGATATCCATATTACGTTTGAAATTTATAAACTTAATACTCAGCTGCGTGCATGCATAATTATACTAAAAGATTTCCATGAAAGCGCATCTGCGATTGTGCACTTCAGATATTCTTAAAAATAACGCAAGCCAATGTTCCGTTTTTGCACAGATTACAGAACGTTTTCGTGATTTCAAGTCTAATTTTATACATAATATACTTACTATATATAAAATTAATTTTATGTACAATATCCGAATAATATAAGCAGTTCACTTAGTGGTACTGATAATACAAAAGCAGAAGTAAAGGACATTCATGTTTATTGTATTCAGTTTATACGTTCAGTCATAAATATTATTTATATGATGTATACATACAATAGACACACAATGGTCCATCCCTTTCAGGTCCATTTATATAATATTTACAGTATTTTTAAGAATTAGTTTTCGGAAATTCGAGGTGATTTTGCATTAACATAAGTCACATTCGAATGCGCGAGCAGGAGGAATTAATGTTAATGCAATCACAAAACGACAGCTATAAAAAAGTGCATAGAAGCGCTTGCATGATTCACTCGCTCAAATTTACGAAAACTATTATCAACCCTTATGCAAATTCACGATTAATGACGACCATAGAGTATGATATCGCAATATTTTTAATAATTTTGTAAAGACACGATACAAAAGTTCTCACAAGGCAGATAACATTTCAATTTAATATTCGGCATTGGCAAATGCACGGAAACTTATGAATATGCAAGAAGTAAAGAATATTTGCATATAATTTTATTGACAAATGTAAAAAAAATCTAAGAACTGACCAACTTCTATTATCAATAAGAATGTAAAAGTATAAAAAAGAAAAAGAGAATATACATATATTATTATATAGCCTACAAGAGGCAGGAGTTTAGAGAGGTAATCGATTTACAAAACTTCGATTTTGAATCAGGAAATCTGGTCTTTATTTCCAAAAATATGTCGCCCACATCTAGACTGTCCAAAACTGCCTGCAAATACAAATAAAAGAAAATTGTGAGAACTTTTTCGGCATATAAAACGCAAAACTTATTCCCAACGCGGAGCACTTGAGAACTTAATAATCTCACTCGTAACACCGTTTGTCCATTCAGGGTTTTCATTGTGAAATTGGATAAAATTTGATAAGACACAATAAAGACTAATAACAAAGACCACATTTTCGTAAAAGGTCAAACACTTTATTTAATAATAAAGGTGTGTGCGCCTGGGATTTGGGATATACAAAAATTCATCGTATCGTCTAAGCTTGAATATACGTATTCTTCGGCAACGCTTGTGATTAAAGTACCCCCTCCAATACCCAACTAAACCTCTGCCTAGACAAACAAGTTGCAATCGCGGTGATAGAAGCATGAAATGTGAGCTATTGATCAAAATAGATTTTGCCATCCAATTAGGAATATTTTGGGGAAAAATAAGCGGGCCGAGAAGTCGTAGAAGGCAAGATTTGAAAATTTCTACGATGGCCACGATTGGATCTGCGGCGGACAAAGAGTATGGACGCATTCTGGGCAATATAAAACTTGTTGCGACAATAAAGTATGTATAATCCAACTGCGCCGGGCTGCGCTTTTCGTACTTTTCTAATTCTATTTACCACTCTGGTGTGGTGTAATATTTTAGTCGTGGTAATATAATATTCTTATATTATTGTTAAAAATTAAAATTAAAAAAAATGAACTTGAGAGAATAGCACTCAGTACCAGTAATACCAATGATAGTACAGTACAATATTTATAGTAATATTAATAGCGGTAACGATAAGAATAAGTATTAGCAGCAGCGGCGAGAATATCGGTAGCGGCAACAGTAGTGATAATTACACTAATAGTAATAATAATAGTACTACTATCTCCTGCAGCGCAACAGATAACTATTTCCGTAACCTACTGTTATATTAAATCGAAACAAATATGAAAACGTTGGAATATTTTGGTTTAGATCGCGTTTACATAAGCGATATAGTTCACCAACTCACTCAATATATATACTCACAAAACATGAGAGATCGACCAGCTGAGAGCTTCTGTCACTTACTTTTTATTATTTTTTTTATTATAATGGATTATAGCCAACAGTCGGACTTAGATCAGATCAGCGACATTCATTGGCATTTCATCGATGTGAGTGTTATAGAATTGCTCGATATCTTTCAAGGTTCGTTTATCTTCTTCCGTCACAAAATTAATGGCCACACCTTTACGGCCGAAACGGCCACCGCGACCAATTCTGCAAATAAGAAAGTAACAAAGATATAAGTTCTGCACAAAGAAAATTATATACATATGTATTTGCGACATCACGAAATTCGAACTTTAATCAAACTTGAAGTATGCCTATATTTTTGTAATATGAAGATTATGCTATTGGTGTCTTATATTGCTCTGCAAAATATGCCCCCCCCCCCTATGGCTTAAAGATATAAAATATCAGAATAAATTCTTTGAAAAAATAACAATTGACAAGACTTTTACTTGAAGTTATATAAAGTCAAATTAATATTTTTATTCTTACATCTTACAAGTTCTTGCTCTCCTACTTTTGCCATTAGAAATTTCTATTTCGTTCAAATAAGTTATACCGCGTTTATATCGAGATGATAATTGAAAGGTGCAAAATAATAACTTACCGATGAATATAATTTTCTCGGTTGGAAGGTAAATCATAATTAATAACAAGCGAAACCTGCTGCACATCTATACCACGTGCCAGAAGATCAGTGGTGATCAAAACTCTGGATGATCCAGTTCGGAATTGACGCATAATAAGATCGCGTTCCTTCTGCTCCATATCTCCATGCATAGCGGAAACAGTGAAGTCACGTTTATGCATGCTCTCTGTCAGCCAATCTACTTTACGCCGTGTATTGCAGAAAATAACGGCCTGGGTGATGCTCAGCGTGTCGTACAAATCGCAGAGAGTCTCCAATTTCCAATCTTCGCGTTCGACATAAACGAAAAATTGCTTGATACCCTCTAATGTTAGCTCCTCTTTCTTAACCAAAATACGAATTGGATTCCGCATAAAACATTTCGATACGTCCAGCACGTCAGACGGCATGGTCGCGGATAATAATATAACCTGGAAAAGATAAATTATACGGTTGCATTAGAAATAACCGAGGACTGGCAATTGTA